ATCGGGGGTGGGGGTGGTAAACTGGTTAAATTTTAAATTTTACAAATAAATTAAACGTTACTCTATTTTGTCTTGGGGAGGGGGTGCGGGGTGGAGGGCTGTGAACGTGATTATGTGCGGGATGGGGGCGGGGAAGCAAAAAGATGCCTGAAAGAAATTGTAACTGGACAGTTACGCTAGCTAACCCGAATGGTACATTGGGGTACGCAAAACCTCACATCATCCTCATGAGACTTGCCTTAATCTTCTGTACTCCTTGTGGAGCATAGGGCCTCACCCTACAACTTTCCTTTTTGTCCGGTCCCCGGTTGTTGATTTTGCAACCTCCGAAGACATCCTTTCCTTATCTCTCATATAAATTTCGCGAGTAAAATATGTTGGGGAAAATCCAGAGTCTTGCGTACTTGACTGATATGCCTGAATGATACAGAACTGCACGATTGGAATGCATTCACAATAATTACTTTATAGAGGCAAGACTGATAATATCAAGTAAAATCACTTATTAATTAATTAGTTATTTCAACAACGATTAATATTGGAGATAAAACCTCTACTGTGCTATTTAAAGACCAAATTATAAACTTTCGTGTACATAGATTATGTATTTATCACAACTTCAAAGGTTGACCAATTTAGTCCAGGTTTTTTTAAAGAGATGCCATTTTAAAAACAATATAGGACTATAAAGCATTATAAAGAAAATATAGCGATATCTTCTTTACTTTTTTTTTCAATCACTAATGCGCTTTCTTAAGCTGTATTTACAGATCGATGTCGGTGCATCAATTACTTTGGCAAATCGATTTTGCAATGCAATCATGTTTGACCATTCATCTCTTCAAGACTTTGGATTTTTTTATTGCTTGGTACTAGCTTCGTTTCCATTCGAAGGAAATAATTTGATGTCCAGGATTATAAAGCCTACAAAAAAGCGATTGCCTTTTTTATATGATAATCAAGCTAATAAGCTAATATAGAAAATATTAAGACAGAGACAAGCATAGACACAGATAAATACCCACAAGCATGAATGTAGTTTGTACATAGCCAATGGTAGTTAGAGTCAAACATAAAACACATCCATTATAGAAAAAACTTGTATAAACATAGACACATAAGCATAGACACATAAACATAGACACATAAACTTAGACACAGCCTTAGACACAAACACATAGACACATATCATTAGAGACACAAACAAAGACACATAAAAATAGACCTATAAGCATAGACACATAAACATAGACACATAAACTTAGACACACACACACATAGACACATAAACATAGACGCATAAACATAGACAAATAAACATAGACATATACGCATAAACACATACACTTAGACACATATCCTTAGACACCAACATAGACACAAAAACATAGACACACAAACATAGACACACAAACATAGACACACAAACATAGACACATAAACATAGACACATAGACATATAAAAATAGACACATACACATGAATACAGAAACTAGACCCACCAATATAGATACGTGCAGGTAGACACACCATTTATAGACACACACATAATCATATATAGACATCCACATAATCACAGGTAGACACACACAAAATCACAGATAGACACCGACGTAGAAAAACTTAGCAATAGAAGTTCGAAGTTCACTGAGACTAAACCTAAGGCAAAATTTGTTACATTAATGACTTTCGTTATTTAAAAAAATAATGACTCAATAATTACAACTCTCCGTCTAGGCGGTGGGGTGGAGCCGAACGAGCAGTCAATTATAAGACAAACAAACGTGACCTGTCTTCAAGACATGACCTCCGGGTGTCGGGAAATAGGTCATGTGACTATGACCTTTCTTCTAATCAATGAGTTTTCCCGTCTGGATTCTTCCTATTATCTGGGAGGCGCTATTGTTTGGTTTAAACAAAGCCATTTTGTTGGTATTCGGTCAAGCTTAGATTTTTTAAAATAATTATAAAGTACAGAGTAATATTTTGTAGCCATAATATAACATTCTTGAATGGAAAACTAACCTAATTTGTATTTTAATACGTTTTCGGTCTTTTTCTTTTAGTGATATTTGATTTCAAAATGGATTCAACTGCATAAATATCTACATTTATATAGTGATTTTTATTATAACTATGTGAGTAGGGTAATGTTTACCTCTTATTAAGGACATATCAAGTTTTCCGTAACACGGAATATAGAATGTGTATGTTATGGCTACATTATTAATATCAATTCCGTAGATCGGAAACAAACATTTTTTTTTTAATTTTTTAATGCGTTCTTTCCTGTTTTTGAACTACACATTTTATTTTTAATTACTTTTAAGTACATCAAATTAAATAAACATAACTGTTCAGGTTATAGCAAGCTTTGTTTTAGGAGTTGGATTGTTTACAGGAAATAGTTTTAAAACAAAGCTATCACTTCACAATTATCGCTATCATATTATTTTGGGTGTTGGCCTATTTTTGACAAGTATTATGCTACAAAAGTGCATACATTGGCACAGTATTTGTATTTCTCCTCAAAATGCTGCGTCGTGATTGTAAAATTATTTGTCAACAGTTTCATCAACTCGATTTAGCTAAGTTAATCGACTTGTTGTTTTTTTAAAGCTTTCAAACATATTTGCTTGAAACTAAATTGATTAATTAATTATCGACCAAGTTATACAAACAAGAAAAAAAATGATGAAAAATGAAAATTAAACAGATATGCTATAATTAGTTGCGCTGACACTAATTGCAAAAGTTCGCGGAAACAAATAATGTTGTGAATTCGTAAATATTCGTTGTCTGTGGTATATAATCGGTTTGTTGTATATATATATATATATATATATATATATATATATATATATATATATATATATATATATATATATATATATATATATACTATTTACCGCTGCAGTTAAATAATTAAATGCTTGCTTTTAATTATTTTGCTTAGATTAAAATTTATATTAAGTTGCGCTTAGATCTAGGGTATGGTCACTAGACATAATGTCAGATCTATTTTTGGTAAGAGAAAAGATCATGCTTAGATAAATACGATTTAAGGGGAATAGTGTGGGATTCTTAACTCAAAAAAAGGCATATGCTGTCTTTTAGCTGGAGACAGCAACTCATCGAGAACACTCCAAAATCAAAAACCTGCTGTCTTGAAGCAAATCAAGAAATAAAAGCAGGCTGATGAAGTATTATTCAACGGGCGAACGGCGCATAACGTATTGACACGCAATACTTAATTAATTTGGAAAAAAAGCTCCCCCCCCACCAATATTAAAATTATAAACGAAAAAGTATAAAAAGAGAAAGCTGCACACTGGAGCTTATATTTGTATACATTTAGTTATGTGATAAAGCAGTTTAATGATGTGAAAAAAACACATGTTAGAGTGCGGAGACGGTTATTTTAGTTCCTTTTAACGACACTTTACACAAACAGACTCAGTTAAGAGGTTCCACGCTTGGCTTGATAATGCTGACTTGTTATAAATGAACTGACAGGGAGACAACTCCCAGCCCCTGGGTTGCAACAAAAATATGACCACAGTTATCGACCTTGACCGTGTTTCAATTACCGCCTTTGCACGTTTTAAAACGAGGCTAGCATGTCTTGAGTTTGTTTTTTATAATTCGCTGAACTTTAATTAAACCCAGAATAAAAACAAAAACAAAAATAACTTTTAAAAAACTCGGGTTTTTCTGGAGTAGATTCGCCAACGGCTGTTTAAATTTTCATCATTATTACTGATCGCAAAGAAAATCAAATTTTAAATTGAAATTTAAAAATAATATTAATTTTTTTTTTGGACATTTTTTCCTCTTTTGAAACCCCAAAAAGAGACATCTTAGTTTAGCTCAATGATTTTCCCATTAAGAAAATAATCATTAAACAAAAAAATATAAAAATATAGAAATAAACAAAAATAAATCATATTTTTTCTCAAGTTAGCATCAGGAAGTTTAGCCGAAGGAAATGATATACGAATCACATGAGTGCAGGGGATATAGAATGCAGAGACGAGGATGAAAGATTAACTGCGCCAATTGAAAACGTGCAAATCTTATTCATTCTGACCTGGACTTTTAAAATTCGGAAAAAAAAGAAAAAAAAATTAAATCATTTTTTGAGCACATTTTTAATAACATTCTAATTCCGGATGTTGTGTTACAATTATAAAAGAGCAAATATGGACAAGAAAATATCGCAACACCCACGTTTTGAGTGAACTGAAATCACATTCTGAATTTTAAGTGAAGAAATACTAGTAGGTATAAATAATAGATGTGTTCATCTTCTACTGGCTGCGCAGTTACGTATATGTAGCAGTAATACATTTTTTTATTTAAAAAAAATCACTTCAATTCAGCAAATTTTAAAGAACGATATATGGAAATCTCCCTGGTTTGAAAATGAAACGGGTAGGTATAGAATAGACGTGACGATATTACCATTTTACTGTGTGCCTTCTTGCAATGTAGTTCAGTGGGGGAAAAAAAGCGAATATCATAAAACATATTTCATCACAAAGCTAGAGTGATCGTTTTAGAGAAAATAATAATATTATTTTTTTTTCATATAAATACTCTATCACACTTTTTTAGAGATGTAGATTTGATAATTAGCTATAGATAAGTTAAACTAAGTCAATTTAACACCCGTCGTTTGACTCAGTAATGAAGATGCCAAATTGTGCTAAACAAATAGACAGTAATAGAGGCACGCAATTACCACAATAATATAATAATAGATAACTGTGACATGAATACTAAAGTTTTTATTTTTATATTACAGGAACTCAACTAAGTCTAGACGATGTATCAAGCCCATATACAAGGAATCGAAAATCTACAACACAACATGCTGTTTTTTTAAAGACAGGAGCTCTCTGGATATAAAGTTATAAAAAAATATCGATTTACAATGCAGGATATCTCGTAATTTGCTTAAAAAGGATCGTGTCATGAAATAGGCGTGGACCGCAGCAATGAACAGGACGATTGAGGTCCAATACACCCCGGGGGATGCTCCTTGGGCAGTCGCGTACCTCAACACCAACACCACGAGCAAAAACACATCTGACGACGAGTTCCAGTGCAACTCTACAGACATCACCCAGGCAATGCGCGCCGCGACCGATGCTTTCGGCACCTACGCGGTCCCGGTCATCTGCGTGTTGGGTATCCTCGGTGACGTCACGTCGCTGCTGGTGTTCATCTGCACGTCCTTCCGGTACCAGCCCTGCAGCCAGTACCTGGCGGCGCTGGCCTGCGTCGACACCCTGTTTCTCATGTCGCCGCTGTTGAGTTCACTCATGCGTTACTTCCCCTCCATAGCCTTGACCCCTGGCTGCTGTGTCCTCATCGTCTACACCTCCTATGTCTGCAGTTTCCTCTCCGCCTGGTTCGTCGTCCTCATGATGATCGAACGCTTCATCGTCGTCTGCTACCCCTTTAAAGCCTCGTACATGTGCAATAAAAAAAAATCCATCGCTGTTATCTCGGCGACGTCTGTCCTGGCTTTAATACTGTACTGCCACAGTTTCTTCACGGTCGAGACCTCTATCGTCAATTCCCCCTGCCATGAAAACAAAAACTACATCGAGTTCCTCAGCATTTTCACCCACGTCGACTCAATCCTCGTCTTCTTCGTGCCTTTCTCCACCATCGTATTCCTAAATCTAAAAATAATACAAACCGTTCGGAAATTCCGGTTGCGTCATGATATGCTCAACCAAAGCGTCAGACGCACCCCGCGGTACCACAACTCGGGGAATACCCTGACCCTCGCTCAAGTCCGCTCCACCAAGATGCTGGTCTGGGTGTCCAGCGTGTACATTATCCTCTACCTTCCCAGTTATGCCGTGCGCATGTACGGCCTCATTCTCCAGCAGGTTTCCGGCGTTCTGAAATGCGCGCCGCGGCTCTACGTCGCCCAGCAACTGTGCCAGCACCTGCACTTCCTCAACTTCGCCATCGACTTTCTCGTCTACGTCGTCACCAGCAACAACTTCCGCCGGAACGTCAGCCGGTGCCTGAGGAAGTTCTACATGACCCGGTCCGGCTGCAAGTACCGGTACGACTACTGACGGAAGACTGTCGTGTTGTATCAGTACAACAACTGACGTCATCACGTCAGAAAAAACAAAAACTCTCTTGTTATTTATTGTGTCTTAAAATGTGTTGTTCGTGTCTTACAACATTTGAGTCTTCAACAAAACAAAAAAAACAGCATGTACCTAGCTATCTTTCATCAGCTGGTAACTTAAATGCTAATTAACTGCCGAAATACCGATAACTCAAATTAGCAATCACGGAAGAGAACTCCAAATAATAGGAGTTATCTCTAATACAAGAATGCTAAAACATAGAATATTTATAATATATTAAGTTAAGGCATTACTTTATCTACTTGCTATTGCCTTTGAAGTTTATCTTTCAACATAACCACCAACTTGCCAATATCTATACCACTTAGTAAGGCTACATCAGTTTCTAGAATATCATCTTTACATTATTTTAAATGATTGTTATCAAGTATTTTGTTTGCGCTACATGATTTTTATTATTTTGTAATCGGTTTGTTATGTAATCACACAGATTCGATTGTTGCATTAAATTGGCTTCTGACATTCGCATTTATCTTTGTATAATTTTTCTCTATAAATATTTATCTTATTATTACATGAAACGGCAGCAACGTAGCATGACTAAGATTGATTATGGCTGAAATGTTTGAAAGATTATATTGTTTTAAAGAAAAAACACTTGGAATACATTTTATATTTACAATAATTTCTAACTGTAATATATTCAAAATTTTATGAACGCTCATTTTAAATGTAGCAGTTTATTCCAAAAAAAAAAGGAAATATAATCTAAATCTCTAGAGTTGTATACAATTGTAAACTTTATAGTGAAAAGGTTAAGCACTAAATGTAAATTAAAAAAAAAACTACATTTCATTAGGCTTCTAGCATGTGAACTAGTACCATTTTAAACAACTATTGCTTGATTTAACTGACGTCATAACGCGATATCTGATTCAGCACGGGCGGTCTTTCTATCGACTTTATGTTGACCTCTGAAATTGTTTACTACTGAACTTATCGTGGGGCAAGCTGGCAGCTTACATCGACAAAAAACCTGGCACAGTATGCAGCATCACGAGACGTGAAATCGATGACGTGTATGACGTGTGTGACGTGTGTGATGTAGGGATTCGAGTTCTACAAGACGAGGTTTTCACGGGGTGATTGGCATGTTCTCATGAGTGGCTTTATTAGAACTTTACATGTCCTTGTAAGTGGGGACATTAGAACTATTAATGTCTTTATATGTGGGGGACATTAAAACTCTGCATGTCTGTGTTAGTAGGGGCATTAGAACTATATGTGTCTTAATAAGGGGGAGGGGACATTAGAACTCTACATGTCTTTATATGTGGGGGCATTAGAACTCTATATGTCTTTATATGTGGGGACATTAGAACTCTACATTTTTTTTATAAGTGGGGACATTAGAACTCTACATGTCTTTATATGTGGGGAAATTAGAATCCTACATGTTTTTATAAGTGGGGACATTACAACTCTACATGTTTTTATAAGTGGGGACATTAGAACTCTACATGTCTTTATATGTGGGGACATTAGAACTCTGCATGTCTTTATATGTGAGGACATTAGAACTCTGCATGTCTTTATATGTGAGGACATTAGAACTCTACATGTCTTTAATTGTGGGGACATTAGAACTCTACATGTCTTAATAAATAGGGACATTAGAATTCTACATGTCTTTATACAAGGGGACATTAGAACTCTAAATGTCTTTATAATTGGGGACATTAGAACTCGAAATGTCTTAATATGGGGGGGGGGGACATTAGAACTGTACATGAATGGTAAAAGTATACATCTTATATATAAATTCAATTCATTCCTGGGGGGGGGGGGGGGGGTGCACGGGGTAAACGTTCTTAGGTGGGGCAGTGCATGCTCCCTAAAATAGATGTCTGAAAGAAACACTAGTTGGGAGCTAATGCTGATATACATCTTGAATTGTACTGAAAAATACTTTTTGTAAATACTTATTTTAAAAAAACCCTTTCTTGTTGATGCAATTAGGTAATCTACATTCACATATTTGTAAAGATAAATTAAATTGGAATTCATCATAATTTGAGACAAAAGCACTTTTATTTTCCGCCATGTCTAGATCCATAACGGTGATATCCACTGGAGATTGTCAGGACTCTGGCGTAATGTGGCATCATAACCGTAGGCGGCAGGAGAAGAAGTCGAGGTCTTAAAATAGCTCGAGCTTAAACCCAGCCATGTAAAGTGCAAAACAATTTAGAAACAGAAGTTTTTTTCTGTGATTCTAAGCTAACATTTCAGAAGAGAATCTGCAAATACATGAAGTTTTAGTAGAAACAATAAAGTACAGTTTAATATTGTAAGATTAAATTATAACAGTTCATTTTACAAACTGTATGCTGAAAATAAATTGATAACAAAAATGGTTCCCAGTTTCAGAGTAGAAGGGAATAAACTAAGAGTATGTCTAATATTGAGGAGCAGATTATCGATTTGGATTGAATGTATTAAAGTTGTCAATTATGTTATGGAGCTACAGAAAAATGAAACATTAATAAAAACAAAACAAAAATACACACGTTCTGATGTTTCGACTTCCGGTTTTAGGGATTAACAAGATAATACTTTTGTGTTAATTACAGACAAAATGGCGCATTCCGCTCAAATCAATGGGTCTATTAGATGGGTTTGTTTTTTGTTATCTTAATTTTGTAATTATGTTGTTTTACAATATTTGAGGCCAATGTGTACTTTATATTCTCGGTGCAAATGTTTTTGTTTTTTCTGTTCTATTTTTCTTGCGTATCTAAGATGTGTTGTGGGCGTTGGAGTAGGAGTATGTTGTATCAGTGTTGACTCATTTATATGCCGTAATCGAATTGAACCATACTGACCACACTACTCATTCATATGGTGTCATTGAATTGAACCACACTGACCACGCTATTCATTCATATGTTGTAATTGAATTGAATCACACTGACCACACTATTCATTTATATGGTGTAATTGAATTGAACAGTGCTGACCACACTATTCATTTATATGGTGTAATAGAATTGAACAGTGCTGACCACACTACTCATTCATATGGTGTAATTTAATTGAACCATACTGACGACACTACTCATTCATATGGTGTAATTGAATTGAACAGTGCTGACCACACTACTTATTCATATGGTGTAATCTAATTGAACCATACTGACCACACTTCACATCATCTGACCCCCCCACTTTCCTCCATCCCTCATAACACACCGTCACAAAATTACGGACTCCCCCCTCCCTTCCACCACGCATGTGACGTCATTCATAAACGACCCCCACACTACTTATTCAGATTCCGCATTTAAAACAGAACAATGCTGACCACACTAATTCTTCAGGCCAATACAACCCAAACAGTCGGCATCACAACAAGAACTGTTGTCGATACAGCCAGTGGCGTAGCCAGGATCGTCTCACGGGGGGGGGGGGGGGGGGGGGAGGGGGGTTCCAATTTTTACCCGGGAACAAACTTTCGATTTGCACCCCCCCCCCTCAAACTTTCGATTTGCACCCCCCTCAAACTTTCGATTTACACCCCCCCCCCTCAAACTTTCGATTTGCACCCCCCCCCCCTCATACTTGTTATATATATACCTAGGGTCTATGGGGGGTTATGACCCCCCTTACCCCCCCCCCCCCCCTGCCTACGCCACTGGATACAGCATTGATAAGTTTCTTTGTACGTTAAGAATATTTTTTTTTTCTAATTTCAATAACGTCAACACCTCCATCTTACATATATTGCTTGTATATTCATACAAAAATGTTTCTGTGCAAAACTGTTTTGTTTTCAAGACACGCGGACAGCTGAATAGCAAATCAGACAAGTAAACAAAGAAACGTGGAGATATTCATATGTCAATCATATGCACATATTATATATTCAAAAAACCTTAACGCAAAATAACATGATATTTTCCGTTTTTGTAATTCAATCTCTATGTAAACATTGAATTGGATGGGTATTTTTATGAACGTTGCGCTTCTTTTTAAAGAGATCAATACAGTGTAAAGGAATAAAAAACATTTTAAAAGTCGGTATGATCCGTCTTCCACCTTAGAACTAAATTTGATGTATCATTAAGACCGCATATATATATATATATATATATATATATATATATATATATATATATATATATATATATATATATATATATATATATATATATATATATATATATATATATACTGATGTTTTTTGGCACACGCCACAGTTTAACTCTATTATTAAAACTGAATGCATAATTTTTATAGTCTAGAAAGTAGGCTATTTATGGATAGAAGAAAAACATATCAAAAAGCACCTACTAATTAAAGTTTCAACCTTCTGACGTTATTTCACAGTGATAGTTTGGAAGTGCTTTTATTTCGATTCAATTTCTTTATATTTTAATATTTTACGTGTACAATTAATCGCACATCTTAATGACAAACTACAGTAAAACACTTGAGTTACACGCTTTAGCACACTCTATCAGCACACGTTAGTTACACAAAAAAATAACACACGCTAGTTACAGAAACACAGTTAGATACACAACGTTAATTGGGACAGAAGCCTAGACCGACACCCAAGGTAATATTTCTACCTGCGTAATATCAAAGAACTCGTTATCTTGGGTTTCACCGACACCGTGGACTATGCTTTGCTTTAATGAGTTTTCCAGTATTGATTAACGATTAGGTGACTGGTTTTGATTGATGTTGTAAAATTTGTTGCGGATTAACGGATCAATAAGACCCACGGTCTTGGATTAAATGTTAAGTAAAGAAACACAGATTATCCTTAAAAAACGATACAAAATATTTTGATTAACAAAAAGTAAAGACTGGTAAAAAAAATTATATTATATACTAAAAAAAATCATAAAAAAACGTTTTAATAACAAGCTTTTATGTAATAATGCACTAAAAAGTAGAACATAAATTATACACTACTATTTAAATAACTATAAAGAAAAGCGTGGCTCTCTTCCTAAATATTAGTAAAGGTATCCAATAAATACTAAAGTGACCCACGCTTTTCTTTATAGTAATTTAAATAGTAGTGTCTAATATTTAGGAAGAGACCCATGCTTTTCTTTATAGTTATTTAAATAGTAGTGTATAATTTTTTTTCTACTTTTTAGTGCATTATTACATAAAAGCTTGTTATTAAAACGTTTTTTATTAATTTTTTTTCCAGTACTTTACATGTTTTATTTACAATAGTTACATGATGATAAACCAGTAAATTATTATTGGATGGCGTAGTCTAGTGGTAAAGAACTAGACTGCTGACCCGACTAAAACCCATCGCGCGTCTATTGAACGTGATGATGCGCTTTTGTCGTAGAGCCCCCCCCCCCCCCCCCCCTCCAATTTCACACGGGCGTTTCGATCTAGACAGACAGACCGACGAGGAAGTGAATGTAATAAAAGCTTGTCATAAAAAAAGCATTAGCTAAAGTTTTGGACACACAATTTTATGTTGACAGCTGGTGTGAGCTCGCTAACTCCGCGTCTGCAGATTTTCTGCCCACCACCCAGTATCTGCCCATAACCCAGTGCCCCTTCTCGTTTATACAAAACACACCGTTATCTGCCCATTTTTGCCCAACACACTCTTCTCTGCCCAACTAGTGCCCTGCACCAAGTGCCCATCCCTTCTGTCCACAATGCAGTTTTTGCCTACCACAAAATGTCTGCCCACCACCCAATAACTACCCACTTCTGCCAACCACACTTTATCTTCCCAACCACCAGAGTTTCTTCCAGGCATCTTTTCCGTGGTGGGAGGGGGGGGGGGTTGGGCGGAGAAAGTCTAGTCCCCCCCCCCCCCCCCCCCCGCAGAACGAAATGGAATTTATATAGGAAACATATACTTTTGCCAGTGTCCACCCTCCGGAAAATGATGTTCGCCCCTCCCCCCCCCCCCCACCCACGAAAATATCAGGTGCCCACACCCCCCCCCCCCCCCCCGGAGCAAAATGTCTGGAAGAAAACTGCAAACCTCCATATGTCTCCTATAAATCACACTGCTAAAGTTAACCCCAGGTGAACACAATAACTATGTCTCATCTGTAATCAGCTGTAGAGATGGCACATGAAAGTATAGATCTGTCAGTTGTCGTCACCCCCCCCCCCCCCTCACACACACACAAGTAGTGTTGTGCCTTATAATTTCTATGAAATTACTTGCCCCCAAATGAAATTTTTAACCTACGATTTTGTTAACACATTTTGTGACTCTGGATGTGAAAAGCGTTAACTTTATTCTGTTGCTATCAAACATCTATTTCGCAAAAACTGAAATGACTGTTTTTTTAAATATACAGCTATTAATGTCAAGTTTATAAAAAATTAGAACAAATATAGTTTACATGTTTTATATATATATATATATATATATATGTATATATATATATGTGTGTGTGTGTGTGTGCATTTGTATATTTATTTATATGTATACGGGTCACATGACCCAACCCAGCGAGGACAAAAAACTAGGACAAGGTTTGACAGAATCGTGTCCAGGAACTGAGGAACTCAATTTCTCGGTCAGCCTGACCATCTGTGCCATCATCGTCTGCTGAGATTGTTCCTGTAGATAATCTCTCTGTCCTTGACCAATATCTCGGCAACGCCGTGCGACTTTTGTAGATTAACCTACTACACTTTAGAACTGGGGAGGTCTTAACTTACAGGGTCATGTTGCAGGGGACTTGTGTTGTTTACAAGAATAGATAGTAGGTTTCTAGTCAAAGTCCACAAGATAAGGAAACACGGAAAGTGTTACAACCTCAAGATTATTATACAACGAGCTTGTCGTGTTGCTTACACGACTAGAGAGTAGGATTCTAGTCATAGTCTACAGACTATGCACACGGAAGTTGTCATAACCTATTTGATTACTTAATACTGAACTTGTCGTAACATACACAATCACTAAATAATGAACCTGTAATAACGTACACAATCACCAAACAATGAACTTTGTATAACTTACAAAATCACTAAATAATGAACTTGTTGTAATTTACAGGATCACCAAATAATTAATTTGTTATAATCTGGAGAGTCAGTAAAAAAGAAACTTACCACATTCTACAAAATAAGTAAACAAAGAACGTTTTCAAATATGAAGAAAATTAACAAAACGCTTGTCATGATCTTTAGGATCAGTAAACAGTAACTTGCCATAAACTACACAACTAGTAAACAATGTACGCCTCGTAACCTACAATACGAGAAAACAAAAACGAGCCATAACCTACAAGTACACAAGGAACTAGCCATAACCTCAAAGACTAGTGCACAACTAGCATAACCTACAAGACTAGTACACAACTAGCCATAACCTACAAGACTACTACACAACTAGCCATAACCTACAAGACTAGTACACAACTAGCCATAGCCTACAAGTACACAAGGAACATAACGCCATGCACAAAACGAATATACAGATCAAAAGAACTAATTTTGTATTGGACACAGGTCATAATAGTATCTTTTGATGGATGATTTCAGTATACGTAGTAGATCAATACTTCATCAAAGAAGACCATTTAAATAGACATTTACAGAACCTGTAAAGATTGTAATGATACTATGTAATGTTGAACTATAACAAGATTCCCTGACCCATGTTGTTGGGTTATTTGCGTGATTTGATTTGTCCTGACAACCATGACATCGTATACCAGTTAAAACTGAGCACATTTGTTCTTGCAGACTAAGAATATCTGTCACTTGAATATAAGTGGGTCATCAGGACTTGAACCTAAGACATACAGATCTGTAGCATGTGCTGTACCTCTCGACCACTTGCAAACATTATAATAACATGGCTCTTTAGTCCGATCGATTCCTCTTTAGACCTAGCGATACATTGAGCAGTTGAAGTAGAGTTAATGCTTCTTGCACTGGAAATTATATTTTCGTGATGAACTAACGTGGCCGGTGCTGTAAGTTGTAGCCCATGAAAAATGTCAGCAAATCAAATGTAATTATTATCACATCACACCCGCACTCCAATTTTAAATACATAAACTAAAACACCACACTTGTCACAAAACACATCTCTATCACGCACGTGACATACCTCTATTTTCCACAGCCCCCCCCCCCCCCCCTTGTGTCGCTTAACTTATTTTATTTCCAGAAGAAAATAAACATTTGCTACTTCCGATTCAACCCCCACTCCGCCCTTCAACTACCTTCACTCCCCTTTTTAACACACATACACTAAGTCATCATTGTCGTCCCACCCCCATACACATCAAACCCGATCTTCAAATATTTCAAATCTAAACAAAAAACCAACTCCCCAACCCCCTGCTCTAGGTACTTAACATTATTTTATGGACGACCTTAAAGCTAGAAAGATCTATCTTCAAATAGAAATAAATAATTCTTATACAACCCTCAATTAACATTTAAACGTGATGCATTAATTAATTAGCAGAAAATCGCATCTCTTTGCCAAAGACAGGTACGTTTTAAACTAATTAAATATAGATTGAAAGCGTGGGAGCTGCCCTAATTGCACTGTCATTAAGCCGGGAAAGCGATGACCCACGTGTAATTAAATTAATTGAACTAATTGATTGAAAGACTTGCATTCCAAAAAATGCACAGCAGTACGACATCAGCCTCGACATTTGAAAATCTAATAAATATGTACAATGTGATGACTATATTTAGTTTTCACTATATTAAGTAAAGTTTCCCTTTCAAACCTGACGGTCTATGGGGCAAGTGAAGTAGAGTTTACTTGTTTCTGTAGCCTCGGTATATGAAGAGATAGTGTGGTCAGCACTATGCCCAGCCGCCTTTACTTTTCCTAACGTCAGTTAGGTACCCATCAGAGTTGGGTGGACTCAGGAACGGTCTACTGACTTGAACCCGGATTCGAACTCGAGACTTACGGGTTAGCAGTTCAGCTCCCTACCGCTAGACCACTCCGTACCAATTTCAATACATTCCGGAGCTAAGTGCCGTACTTGAAAAATATGTTTTGCCACAATACATGTGTAGTATCCTGTATTATATCTTATGTCTCCAGTGTAATACGATGTCCGTGTCTTGGTTTTTTTTTATCCCAACAATCGAACACTACAGGTAGGCGAATAGTTCCGGTTTATCCTTCTTAGGTATGGCACTATATGCCTGGTAAGTAGGTCACAAACCTGTTATGTGGCTCATGCAGGTTTTATTGAGCCGTAGAACTAGTTGGTGACTTACTTACCAGCCTAGGCAGGTGTATAAATAAATTAATTCAGTAAAATTTGCCATAATAGGTTATCTTTTGGACCTTAAGAGAAAGACCAAATTAGAATGTTGTTCTGGAATATTCTAGGTGCTGTAGTGATACTTAATTCTATTTCTGGGTTACCGATCGCTAATGTCTCCTGTTTATACGATGATAAGATTTACGAAGTAAGTTTAGTATTTGTGATATTTTTTTTAAAAATATTCTGTTCACTATATGTTTAGAATAGCTATCGTGTTTCTGGATTGTGGTAACTTTTTGGTATTAAAAATGGAATTATAGCGTTAAAATTGACTTTTAAAACAATAGCTAAATAAATAATATTAAAATAATTTCGCATTTTAAGATATCTTTTAATGTAACTTTCTGATTTAGTTTAAGAGAATAATTTCTCGCATGTAGGTAGTTTTTTTTTTTTTTTTTTTTTTTTTTTTTTTTTTTTTTTTTTTTTTCGCAGTCAGCTTTAATAGGCTTGGGTTTAAATCTAGTTATATTTAAATTTAATACAAAACCATACATTAAACTTAAAGCAATCATGGGATGTTAAAAAATTCAACAGAATTTTATAACTGAAAGTAATTATACCTGCTCGTATTCCCTTGTTAAGTAAGATAGATTCAAATCTAAATCATGCTTGGATTCTACGCAAACTGTTTCGTTTATTTCACTATATATTTCTTGCTAATCTTTCACAAACATGTTTTTGTCTGTTAAGAGTACAATTATTTTAGAGTCGTTTTATCTAAAGCTTGGAACATACTGCGGCACCAAATGCTTGGTCTGTGAGATGTACGAGGTCAGTGACCCACAGTGCCAGCTGACCTGCCAGGTCCCAGACTGTGGGGTGGGGTTCGAACCCATCCGACCACTGGGCGAGTGCTGTCTGGTGTGTTCGTCTCGCATGGATGATTTTGATCAGGTGTGTTGTATAAACTAGAAACCAACATTTTTAAAACAAAAAAAAATAGTATTTAAAACAACAAATATGTAATCGATATTACATTATTGCAATTGTAGTTAAATATAACGCGCATAATTTTAAACAGAGTAACGTTAACGTGTTTGATGTCGAATTTGATTTACAGATTTACATATAACTTCACACTTTTATCACACACAATTGTCAAGTTAGTGTAGTTGTATTAAAATGAGTCTGCACTCACTGTTTCTGATTATCATGTTAGTCCACTATTATAAGAACGTAACAATATCGTCTTTTAATTTGTTTGTTTATTTGAAAACCGAATTCGGGGACCTAAGATGATCAATTATCCAACTTAAAGAAATATAGAAACCGTTTCAGGTTTAAAGGTTAATAGCACATATAGTGTAGTGTTCGATCGTTTCGTTTACGGATGTAGAAACCCTGTGGTCAAGAGTGCTTTAACCCCCCCATCCCTCACACTGACATATGGCTGTGTGAGTGGACCTTTATGGTCGCGGAAGTTGTTAGTGTTAAAACTAGACCACGCGCTCAAACGTGTATCCCGATGTAGTTATTTGTTCAACTTCTTTATATTTAGAAGAAGATTCAATATTTTTAAATATTGTTTTTCTTATTTTGCAGTTTGATGTTCCTGACAACAGTACAGTACCGGCGTTTGTGTATTAGATGGGAGGGCAAGGATTTAGTCTCTCGCATACAAGGCACTTGCATTACTTAGACAGACAGAGTCCTAGACAGACTTTGACAAGCATGACCTTAACAATACACTGTTGACATACATGGCCCTATCCACATTTTGACAGACAGAGCCCTAGACATACTTTGTCAGACAGGTATTTAGACACACTTTACATACACTGACCCGAAACACACTTTGACAGACAGGACGTGAACCACACTTTGTCAGGCAGGGTCATAGACACACTTTGACAGACAGGACCTGAAACACACTTTGAATGACAGGGACCTAGACACATTTTGACAGGCAGGGTCATAGCCACACTTTGACAGACAGGACCTGAAACACACTTTGAATGACAGGGCCCTAGACACATTTTGACAGACAGGGTCATAGCCACACTTTGACAGACAGGGTCATAGCCACACTTTGACAGACAGGGTCATAGACACACTTTGACAGACATGATCCTAGACATACTTTGACAGACAAGGCCATAGACACACTTTGACAGACAGGGTCATAGACACACTTTGATAAACATTGAGCCCTAGCCATACTTTACCATTCAATTTCCTAGACACACTTTGACAGACAGGACCCTAGCCAAATTTTGACGGACAGCGCTCTAGACACACTATATCAGACAAGGCCTTAGACACACTTTGATAAGCTCAGCCCTAGTCACAATTTGTCAGAAGTAAAAATTGTTTTCAACAAAATGTTTGATGCTAAAAATCCATTCTTGTTAACATTTATTAACCACTAAAGGAAATTGACAAAAAATGTAATAAAAGATACTTCTGCTCCTATTTTTTTTCGTTTTTACTTTCTTGTATGCCAGTTAACAGGAAGCAAATGATAGCCAATCAAAACCGTTTCCAATCGCCTAACTAGGTCAGTTATGTTCCTAGGTCAAAGCGCCTCCATGGAGCTTAACACCAAGACTTGCATCAAATCACTGTCCGACGTGTGCATTACATGACGTCATTTCCGTCGTCTGGAAAGTTGAGCGCCTGCACTTTGGGTTGATTGACTTGTGACCTTGAGCTGGGTCGGCTCAACCTTTAACGGTTTAGAAAAACAAAGATTCGTTTGGGTTTTCATTGGTTAGAATTTGGTTTAAGATCCAATTAGAAAAGTGATGTAGGCATTTTTAAAAAAAATAATTTTAAAATAATAGGAGTAAAAGTACTAAAAAATAATGTTTTCATAGCTTTTTAAATGGCTTCTGAAATTGGAATGGTAAGTTCAACAAGTATTTTTTTTTGTGGTAGGTAGTTATAGTAACTGCTATGTTTATATATTGTGTAAAATAGATTCAATATTATTAATACAATTAACGCTTTAAAGCCGGTATTATTAGATGGTAAGAACCAAATTTTTTTAGAAACATTTATGTAGTTGTCTAGCTTTAGTAAGGCTTACACGACTGACCTAAGATTGTTGTTATTTTTTTGGTACTTTTGATTAAAAACAGTTTAAATTTGCTTAAGTATTCTTTGACACAAGCCATACTCATGTGGGTTGGGAGGGGGTGTAATGGTATAGCTATAACTGCTCGTAGAAATGAATCATTGATTTGTTGTAGTTAAACAAATAACAAAATTACCAACAAGTCTATACAGCTAGGGCTGTGTTTTACCCCGGCATTTCAATGCTTTGCATGCGAATGAAAGTTAGGTGTTGAGTGTTCATGTACAATTTAAGATTTATTCCGATTCCAAAATTGGTGTTCAGTGTTAATGTAAAATTTCAGATTTGTCCCGAATTTTGCATTAAGTGTTAATAGGCAATGTGTTCAAATTCCAAATTTGGCGTTGTGTGTTAACATAAAATTTAAAATGTGATCAAATTCCAAATTTGACTTTTTGTGTTTATATAAAGGTTAAAATTTCTCTAAGGCAGTGATCACTAACAGATATTTATTATTGATTGCAAGTTTTTCCTTCCCCCTCCTCACCCACCTCAAAAAAAATAAAATAAGCTGACTTTCTCGCTCTGTGTTCGTAATTTTAGACGTAGCCAGTACAATAGAGTATCGTTTCAAGTATCGTAGTTTGCGCTACTTGAGTTACGAATACAAAAAAAAAGGGGGTGGGGGGGGGGGGGGGTGGATAGTTGAGAACCGGATCACGCGTCAGTAGAATGGAGCATATTAACTTTTTAAAGATTTTGACTTAGATATAAAAAAAAAACACTTGTTTTGTTTTAAATTTGTGATATTGGTTAGTTGGGTGAAATATAAAAATGGAACGGTTGTAAAATTATCCTCTAATGTATTATATAGTAAATACAATGATTTCTCAACACAAATTCTGGCGCAAATAAGCTTTCATTTTAGTTTGGATGTTATATGAGGCAGGTGAAGTAGAGTTGCTCTAACAGGAATATGATGAATGTGTAGAAGGGCCAGAGTTTCTTCCAGGCATCTCTTCGGGGGGGGGGGGGGGGGGGGGGGAAAGCCCCCCCCGAAAAAATTCTACCGCCTCCCCCCCCCCCCCGAACGAAATGAAATGTATATAATTTATATAGAAAATATATACTTTTAACAGTGTCCGCCCCCCCCCCCCCCCGAAGAAAGTCTACCGCCCCCCCCCCCCAAAAAATTTCAAGTGCCCCCCCCCCCCGCCCCCCCCCCCACCGAAGAGAAAAAAGTCTGGAAGAAACACTGAGAAGGGCTCGCGTAAAGCTTCAACTGTCTTTACTTTTTCTTCGATTCTAATCAAGTGCCGTATGTTCCAAGGGCATACGGGGCAGATGAAGTAGAGTGCATCTGTTTCAATGAACTCTTCATACAAGGGGATAGTTTATTCAGGACTATGCCCAGCCATATTTGTTTCTCTAAAGTTAACCAGGTTCAAATCAAAGCTGGATGTACTCAGGGACGTTTTAAAGACTCGAGCCAAGGGATCTGAACTCGGGAGTTTCGTGCCAGCATTCAAAAGCTCTACCCTTTAACCACACCTCCGTCTTAACTGGAGTAAGGGACATAATCGTGACACATCGACAACGTCAAAAAATAAACCTCTCCTACACAATCACCTGGACTAAAGTTTTGTGAGGGTTAATTAGAAGGATGATGAGCGATAGATGTTTAAATTACTAATTGGTGATTAGATTATACTATCTTGACTCAGCTAGGTTGATACTAAACACCGGAATTATTAAAACTAATTAAATTATCTCCCTGTATCTGAATAAATTTCTTTACCTCCCCTTGCAATAACTCAGCCAGAACGAAGCTAAGCAACAGACACGTCACAGTAATTGCATAACATACTGCGCAATATTTTTGTATAACTTTAGAATTTTTTTTTCAACAGTAAACAGCTGGTAATTCAAACCCGTTTTAATTTTGTTACCACCAGCATTCCGATTTGAATATATATAATAGAGAAAACCTCGCCTAGCTAGACGTGTGGTCACAGCCGGGATGGTATCGATTCTGTTTTCACCGTATCGAGTTCCTCGTGTTTACGTATCGAATTCGCTGCAGCTGTAGCATGAAGGAATCGAATATACAAGTGCATATGTTTTATTTCTTTACGCAACCGATTAAACATTATAAAATCTTGTTTTTGGCACAGTAGCGTAGAAAGAAAGGTGTTAGGTTAGTTAGATTGCCCCTCCCCGTCACCCCATCCACTCAAAATAACAAAATAACAGCCTGAAGTTAGGACATAACTATTGTTGAGAGCTACCTCTTGTCAAATATTATAAAAACACACATCAGAAAATCCTGCAACGACGTCCCATTTGGGCTAAAGTATTACGAAAATGGCCTTCGGGCAACTGGCATTTGGGCCTTTTGCTGTACACCCATATATATATATTTATGAATATATATATATATATATATATATATATATATATATATATATATATATATATATATATATATATATATATATATATATGTGTGTGTGTATATATATATATATATATATATATATATATATATATATATATATATATATATATATATATATATATATATATATATATATATATATATATATATATATTCTGCATAGCAATCACATTTTTATTCAATTTAATTCCGTTAATTGGTATTCACATTCCAACTATATTTCCACCTACTCATGAAGTGGAGTAGATATCCACGTGAGGGCTATCATTGTTAAATGACAAAAACATCACTGGAGATAAGAACGGCACAATGGCTTATTTTAATACATTCATTACATTTGTCTAGACTGGTAGGCACTTGCGTTATGTAAGGTGTATAAATATCAAGTTTAAACGTCGAATGCAACCCTGCATGGAGGATTCTAGACGAGGATTTTTTTCTACAAGATTTCAACACTATGCTGATCAAGTTGAGGATCTGTGTCTGGTTGTTGGTGGGGAGCGTTGTCCAGATTTTCGCCGATTCGGACGGCCAGATTTGTGTTTATGAAGGGCGGGAGATCTTGGTGAGTTGGCTATGAAACGTGAGTCATTTTGGTGAGTTGGCTATGAAACGTGAGTCATTTTGGTGAGTTGGCTATGATACGTGAGTCATTTTGGTGAGTTGGCTATGATACGTGAGTCATTTTGGTGTAATTGAAATGACAACAAGGCTTTTTGTGGGCTATCAGAATTAGCCAGGTGTCGTTGCTGTGACGGCATGAAGATCTATACCGGGAGAGAAACTGGGTTTTAAGACTCAGAAAGAAACGAAACGACTAAATAAGCTAAAATATGGATTTCTTTGTGTGTTTTTTTTCCCCGCTTATTTTAACAAAATATTTTTTTCTTTTTTTTAATCAGGAGGGTGAGGACTGTGTACCAGGCTGCCTACGCTGTATCGCCGTCAACCACGTGAACGCTTACTGCGTCAACATCTGCCCCCCTCAGGAGTGTCATGACGCGGAGTCACTCCGTACTCTGGTCAATCCCATCCCCTGTCTGACGCCACTTTTTCCCAAGAGAATCAACGGTATGAGTGTTATTGTTATATATGTTGTCTGACTTCACTATTTTCCAATAGAATCAACGGTATGAGTTTTATTGTTATATATGTTACATGACGCCAATTTTTCCCAAAAAGATCAACGGTACTGTTATTATTGTTGTCTGTGTTATTAAAAAAAAAACAGCGGCATAAAATCTATAAGTGTTAAAATATTTTCTAGCTTAATCAATAGTAAATAGATAATAGTTCAGGTTGTTATTAATAAAAATAGTGATAAATGTGACGTCAATTGTGAAATGGCAAAGCATATTTTTTAAACGTGAATGACGTCAGTAAATATGTCCTACGCAAAAAAACAAAATCATTTTTCTTTTGTATGCAACGAATACCGAAATATAAGCTACGTATAAATTATCGCATGTAATCCAATATTCATTAACTAGAATAGTGGGATAATACTGTGTATAATTCTCTGTGTAATCATAATGCTAGAAAACACATTAAATAGAATCGCATACATGCATGTTCTATTTCATGTCTTTTGTCATCCTGTTTCAGGTACCACCTAATGCAACTTTACCAAGAGTTTAAAAAGAGATTTCATTTCTGAAAGCTGCATAAAATTAAAAACTGTACTGCCCGCTAATTCTATTAATCTTTTCCCTTGTAATGGAAACAAAATAAAAAATACTAATTACTGTCTAAAAAAAATAAAATAAACATCATTGTAATTGAAATTTTTTCTTTGTATTTTTATTTTACCAAATGTAAAAGCTCAAAATAGAAACCATGTTCTATAAAATATATAGCCTGCACTTTATCATGTTATTGATAGATCATGTGACCTGACCC